ACCTTGTAGCTTTAGGAATGCAATCTAACGGTTTTTAGCAAGGCAGAGGGGATGGCAGAGAAGGGCAAGGCCTGCCAGAGCCGTGTTTGCCAGCCCGAGTCCCTTCAGATGCTGGGATCCAAACCCAGGTCCTGGGAGACCATCCAGTGCTCTTCACCACTGGGCCATTTCTCCAGCCCTTCTGAGTTAAATCATACAACCTTCCCTGGTGATTGCTAAAGGACTCCAGAAGAATATTCTAGCCATAAGGAAGACACAGCAGAGAGAAGCTAGGCTGTGTGGGGTGTTCCTGGGGTACACTTGGGGCCTGATGCCTTGCTCTCGATGCAGAGCAGGGTGTGCCAAGGATAGCTGTGGTGAGGAGAGGTGGGCTGTCAGTGATGAGCAGCCACTGGCTCTTTTGACGTGTTGGTTATTGATTTTTCTAGAGAGGAGCATAAGAAGCACTCGCCTGGGTGTGCCTTCCTTACTGTCAAGAAGCAGTTTGAAGAACTAACCCTCAGTGAATTTTTGAAACTGGACAAAGAAAGAGCCAAGAACAAAATTGTATGTATAATTGAGAATAAGGACAGAGAGCAAACCTGGTCCCCCAGAGCCCTGGAGGATCCGCCCCAGGAAGTCCTCTCAACCCTGGGGGTGGGGGTGGGGTGGGGGGGGTGGAGTTAGAGACAGACAGACTGACCTGGAGTGTGGTTTTGGGGTTGTGCAGTCAGAAGATCTGTCCCCTCAGGAAATGGTGGGGGTGAGTTGAATCACCTCACCTGGGTGGCGACCATTGTGGGAAGCTCTTGACACAGGCGGCTCCTGGGATGGCAGCAGTGTAGGGAGAGGTTTGGGACCAGGCAGTAGAGCGATGGCTGAGGGGACAGAAGCAGAGGTCCAGCTGAACTCTGCCTCTTGTCCATTCTCATGGAATTAGTTGGGAAGGCAGGTGGCATCATGAGTCCACAAGGAGGTGACGCCCCTGCAGCCAAGCATGAAGAGTTAGGTTGGCCAGAGGCCAGAGCTCATAGTAAACATCGCCCGTCCATGTCAACACCCCACATTTTGTGTGGGTTATTCACTGCTTATCTGAAGTTCACATTTAACCAGGTAGCCTGTGTTCTTCTGTGTGGCACTTGGCAACCTTTTAGGGGAAGATTCTGGGAGGGGGTTACTGGCAAGACACTGAGAAGGAGCCAGATGCGCCTCTCTGTCCCTGATGCTTGAAGGCTGACTTGCAGCTGGCCCTGGCCCTACGTAGTTCTACGTTGCAAGGCAGAGGCTAGGACCTGCTGTCGTTTTTGCCGAAGTTTCTCTTCCGCTGTAAGCTCTGTTCCTTGGTGGAGGTCGTTATGAAATAACCGTGATACTAGACACTGAGGATGACAGTTTGCTGTCAGGAGGAGGGAGGACTGAAGTGGGCGTTGGATTGGAGCATGCTCAGACACTCTGGGGATGGTGAGAGGGGGTGAGGGCCTTGCTGCTCAGCGTCCCTATTGCATGGTATTCCTTTTGTTACTGGGGTTTTTTTTGAAGCAGAGTTGGTTTTTTTTTTTTTTTTTTTTTTTGGTTTTTCGAGACAGGGTTTCTCTGTGTAGCTTTGCGCCTTTTTCCTGGAACTCGCGTTGTAGCCCAGGCTGGCCTCGAACTCACAGAGATCCGCCTGGCTCTGCCTCCCAAGTGCTGGGATTAAAGGCGTGCGCCACCACCGCCCAGCCCCAGAGTTGGTTTTAATAAAGATATTTAATACAAGTTTGGGCAGAGTCAAGAGAAAGGCACTCAGAAGGAAAGACAGACTCAGCCGTTTTTTGAGATAAGACTTCACCATGTAGCCCTGGTGTAATTGGGACTCTCTCTGTAGCCCAGGCTGGCCTCAAACTCAGAGATCCCCCTGCCTCTGTCTCCCGAGTGCTGGGATTAAAGGCGTGTGCCACCATTTATTTATTTATACTTTATTTTATGTGTATAGTGTGTTTTGCTTGTGGAGGTCAGAAAGAGGGCATTGGATCCCCTAGAACTGGAGCTGCCTATGGTTGTGACCCACCCTGTGGGTACTGGGAAACAAATCTGGGTCCCCTGGAAGACCAGCCAGTGCTCTTAACCACTGAGCCTCTCCAGCCCCTGGATATTTTTAAGGTGGTAGCTCTGTGGGTCTGGGGTGCCCACCAGAAGGAGCATTGCCATTTTCCAGCGGCTTTTTCTTGTCAGTTTAGTATTTTTAAATTAAGTTCTCAGGCCAGGTGGCAATGGTGCACGCCTTTAATCCCAGCACTCAGGAGGCAGGGCCAGGTGAAACTCAGTGAGTTCAAGGCCAGCCTGGTCTAACAGCGAGCTCCAGGACAGGCACCAAAACTACACAGAGAAACCGTGTCTTGAAAAACCAAAAAATAAATAAACAAATAAATAAATAAAATTTAAAAAAATCTTAACTTCACTTTAACCCTGGCATGGTGGCAAATGGTACAGTCCTAGGATGCAATCTCAACTAATTTGGTTGGCTGGAGGGGGTTATAAATTAAAGGCTATTCTGGGTGACATGAGTCCCTATTTCCTTTAAAAAAAAAAAAAAAGTTGGGGTATTTGCTTATTATGCATAAGGCCCTAGGTTCAATTCCAAGCTATACACAAACAATAACTTTGCTTTTAATAATTGTTGTAGTTACTTTGTCACACTGGTAATGGACGAGGGCCTCACTCTCACTAGGCAGGCCCCTCCTTCTAGACCACACCTAGCCCGGATGTGTCTGTTCACTATTCCAGGCAAAGGAGACCAACAGCAAACAGAAAGAATTCGAAGAAACGGCCAAGACCGTCCGCCACTCCATTGAGCAGCTGGCTTCCTCTGCTGGGGCGACCTGAACCTGAGCGACATGCCACATTTAAGCTGTGTGTCCCAGCTTTCCCAGCCCGGGCCTCTTAGCAGTGTCTTAGACGGTATTTTGAAACTGGATGTCAACTATTTTCGTTTTCACTTGGAAGTGGCTCAGCCTGTGTGCCTACCTCTTCATTTTCTGGCTTTGCTGTGTGGTGACCTGGACTGGCGGTGAGGACAGGAGTGGGTGAGGGGGGCAGTGTCCAGGGCAGGACCTGAGGGGGGGGGCCGTGCAGGTGTTTCTGGTCTTCATGTTTCTATACTGGCAGCTGACATGTCCTGTGCACTGTAGCTGTGGTTCTGTGTGGTGCTGGCGATTCGTCTGGCCTTGGGGTGAGTCTGCTACTGCAGGGGAATGGAATAAAATACTTGAAAAGTGGATGGCAAGCTCCTCCTGTCTGGGGAAGTGGTTGGTTTGTTTTGTTTTGGAGACAGGGCTGAACTGAGTCCTGCTGCCCCTGCCGAGCAGGACTGAGGCGTGGCGTGTGCTGCTGCACACAGGCATTGTCTTCTGTTAGGAGGTCATAAATTTGGGGTGTTGAAGCTTCAATGCCAGCACAAGCTGCAGAGTTAACAGTAGTAAAAAGGCACTGGGAGTACAGCCCGACTCACACGGACAGGATTTCCTTTTCCTAATGGAACATCTGTAAGGCAGGTGTGATACTGTGTCAGCGTGGCAGGTCTAGAATCACCTAGGAGATGGGCCTTTGGGGGGTTATTTTGATCACATTAATTGATGCGGGATCCTGGGCTCTATAAATGGAGAGCTGAGCATCAGCATTCATCATTGTTCAGTGTCCTGACTGACCACTGCTTCCTGACCCTGCCGTCCTGACTCCCCATCATGATGGACTGCACCTTCTCCTGTGAGCCACAGGACACTCCTCCCTTCAAGTGCTTTCATCGGACAATTTATCACACAGCAAGATAAACTGAGACACCAGGTGAGGTGACACACCCTGGTAGTCTCAGCACTTTGAAAGTGGAGGCTGAAGGATCAGGAGTTCAAGGTTATCCTAAGCAATACATAGGGAGTTTGAGGTCAGCCTGGACCATGTGGCACCCTGCTCAAACACATGGTTATGTGACCACTCTCCAAGCATATGGGAAAAGCACACCCCACTGTGACTGAAATGGTAGAATTAAGGCAGACTGGGGTACAGATTTCACAGCTGTGTATATTCTATGCAAACCATGCTGGTAAACTGAGGCTCAAACATCTTTCACCAGAGTCTGGGTCTGCTCCGTCCCTCCCTAGGTTCCCAGCCTCACTGACTCCGGGAAGATCAGCACAGGAAGCCACTAAGACCTTCAGAACCCAGGAGGGCATAAAGCAGTGTTAGAAATGACAGCCCAGGTGGCCTGCAGAGGTTTCCAGCAGCTCTGAATGACCCAGGCTTAACTTCAGGAAGAGCACTGGCAAACCAAACTGGCCATCTCAGTACCAGGCTTTGGTCTGCAGCAGCTCAGCAAGGCCCAGGCTCTCAGGCCGAGTCATTTGTAAGGGATTCAGGCCTCTGAGTCCTCCACTGCAATGGTGTGCCCATCTGTGTTCACTTGGATGGCTCCTGGGTGGCCATTTCAGGAGTTGCTCTGGACATCTGGGGCCTGACTGTCTCCAGAACCACCTAAGACATTCTGGTGGCCTCCCTGAGGGCTTAGGATAGCTCTGTGCAACAATAATTCAAAGAAAATAAGGCAACTGTGGCGCAACATTACCAGCTGGGTCTCTGTCTCTATTCCCACCTTACCACACAGAATCAGAAAGAGCAGAGGAGCTGGAGGAGAGCAGAACTGACAGCATGGGTGTGAGAGCTGATGGGGGCCATGGGCAAGCACCAAGGTGGGGGCCATGGGCAAGCACCAAGGTGGGGGCCCTGGGTAAACACCAAGATGGGGGCCATGGGCAAGCACCAAGATGGGGGCCCTGGGCAAGCACCAAGGTGGGGGCCCTGGGCAAGCACCAAGGTGGGGGCCCTGGGCAAGCACCAAGGTGGGGGCCCTGGGCAAGCAC